TTCAGGAACGGTGGTCCACCATAACTATTATGGTGCACCATATCCTTCATCTGCTTTCCCACCATCTCAAACTTTCCCTTCGGCTCCTTTCCCACCATCTCAAACTTTCCCTTTGGCTCCTTTGCAGCCCTCTCAACCTTTTCCTTCGGCTGCTTTCCCGCCCTCGCAAAATTGCCCTTCGGCTGCGTTTCCACCGGCTCAACCTTCCCTTCCAGTCCCCACACCCAATACCTATGCTCCCACTGATTCAACTCAATTATCGCCACCTCCTGAGATGCCTCTTTTCGAGGACTTCCTCCTTTTCGCCGGTATCAAGTCTGAAATGAAGAAAACACGTGACATCCTGTCTGATGAAGGTATCAACGATTTTGCTCGACTGTTGGACCGCAAGACATACACTTTTGAAAGTTTCCGAAGTATGGGGATAGCGTTTGCTCACGCTGATGACCTTTACAAGGCCGTTCCTGAGTATAACCAGTTCCTGAAATCCTCTAGAGATTCTTCTTGATCTTATTCTTTTAGATGTTGCTCTTTCTGATAGACTCTTTGTGATCGATCAATATCCTTACTCAATCAAATATTTGTGATACATTTAAACAAACTTGTGATCGGCGCAATCAATAACTCAACATCCCCTCTTAAAATTTTGTGAACTGTTTCTTCTTTAATCTCCTCTTGCTTGTCTAATTTGAACTTCCAGTCTTACCTGGTGAACCTTGGCTTTTGTCTAACCTCTACATGCAATAATGAGATGTGTGATCTGATCGCTGCCTTCACTTTTCCCAAATGTGCCTCTATATGATGTGTCTATCTTGTGAGTCTCAGTCAAGAAGACCAGTCTTGCAAGATGTCAAAGTTGAGACTGGTCTTTTGAAATGAACACTTTGCACAAGGTCCGATTTGAGACTTGCCTCTTTAAATGAACATAAGACAAATATTTCAAAGGTTCTACACAAGACCTTTTTTTGCACTCTCAGTGCGTTTTCTCACATGCACAAACTGCAAATTTTTGTGAGAGCATTACATAAAGTCCGATCTCTCACAGGGAACAATATCTTATTGTGACACTTTTTCTCACATTAGGCCTTTGGGACATTTCCAACTGAGCAAACGCTTATGACAAGCAATTTCTGATGATATTTCACATAAACTGCTAAATCCAGTAGCCACAAACTACATATAACTTGTGCATGAGCTGAGCGGTAAACAGCTTCCAGGTTGTATCCATGATCACATCAATCTTATCTTCAGTAGCGGTTGAAACAAGGATCTGGGTGCGTCAAAAGTGGTATTTAAGGACACTAAAAGCCTTCTCAATCGGGTTCAGATCGGGCGAGTAAGGTGGGAGGTACAAGATGCGGATACGTCTTTCTGCAGCAAGTTCATCGATCCGAACCCCATGGTGGATCCTTGCATTGTCCATCACTAAAACGGAGTTTGCCTGAGGGTAGGGATTCATCATAGGAAACTAGCAAAGTTCAACGTAAGTTTTTGAAATTTGGGGGATGAAGGTTGAGAAAAACTGCTTACCAAACGATGTTTGAGGAATCCCTCAAAGTCATCTTGACAGTAGCTGCCTTCTTGGCAGTCAAGTGCTAATACGCCGCCTTGGAATATGGCCGGTAGGAGTGAGTACCGTTTCCCTCCTCGACTCCAAGGAATTCGTGTGGTCCGTTGACCTCGTCTAGCGCGGCCGAACGTCCTGCCGAGATGCCTTTCCTGAACCGCGCACTCGTCTGAATGGGTCAATATATAATGTCAGCTAATCATTCATCATTCAAAACATGACCAAAAACAGACTAACCGAGGAAAACAAGCATGTTGGGGTTCAGCGCCCCTGCTGCATACAGATACTTAGCTCTCTTCGAGGGACTCTGGTTCGGGTGTACCGTCCGAGCCTTCTTGCGAGTCAGGTGGAGTCGATCCTTGAGATCACTCGCGATGGTTTGCAACACGACCCATTCGCCGGTACGTCGATATACCGCAAATCGATACTCGTCCAAGTAGAGAGCTGGATTGCGATCTAGTAACTCCAACATAAATTCTCTATCCTCGTCGTCCAGACGGGTTGATCTTCCAAGGCGACGATAGTCTTCAGGGTTGCGAATCACTGAATAGGTACGTCGATATAAAGAGTGCCAACGGGATATGCTCCGCGTGCTGACCGGTGACTTCAACAGCCGACGCACTTGCTCGATGGTTTTTCCTGTGCGAAGGTGCTGCACTGCCAGCACCTTGATGCCAACGTCGTATGGACCGGGTCGAGATCGCATGTCTAGAATGGGGATGTGGAAGTGTCAGCATCATGGTTCTCTGAAAATAAAAAAGAAGACTAACCAGAGAAGATATGGAATGAAATTTTCCGATGTGGGAAAAAATTCCACGTGGGAAAAATTTTTGATGGGGGGCCAGGCCCGATACCTGGTCTGTGTATCCGGCGGTTCGGGGCTGAGCTGCTCTTCACCCCGCTGCGCCTGTATTGCCAGTGGCGCTTGGGGGAAAAAGACCATGAATTTGTGCGACCACGACACAAATTCCTGGAATAGCTGTACCATGTATGTAGCATTTTCTATAAAACTTTCCACGCAGGCTTCAACCAACGGATGCTGACCGCCTTTGATATCTATCACATTCTCCACGAAAATCTCTGGTCGGACCCTCCCTCAAATGGGAACTCTTGGCTAGAGATAATAAGCTTCAAGACAGGTTTCACCACATCAGATATGAATAGAAAGGAAGTATAATCAAAATTCAATTGAAGAATCCAATCTCTCAACCTTCTTACCATCAAATCAATCAAGTTCTTCTACAAATTTAACTATCCAAGAGTTTCAAGCTCATCCACTTTTGATTTCCAATCCAAATTTGTTTAAGAGTCTTTCTGCTCCAGAAAAAATCAATCAATCAATCAAGAAACCTTGAGAGTATATATTTATATATTTTTGTTTTCTACGTTTTTTTCCATGTCCAAATTTTGTTGGTTAAGAGTTTAATCGCTTTAGAAACTTGATTACTTAAACCAGAAGTAATAAATTCTAAAAATTCAACGTCTTTATGATTTGTTTTTAATTTTAATTGACAACTTGATCCAGATAATAAAATAACTTCTTGTACTACAAGATATTCTTGTTGTTTTAAATACTAGCGAACCAATTTAGAAGAAAAAAATCAATAAAATCCGTCAGGATTTTCTTCAGGTTAACTTTAGATTTCTTTTCTATTGGAAATGTGTACCTTTAACATTTCCATCAGAAGAGTAAAGTGTAGTGTGATTCGCTTGTTCGGGTCAGATTCTGGTTGTGATTCACTAGAGTTTTGTTCCGTTTGACTAGACCCACAAGAAAAGTCTGACTGTTGGAAGATCCAACAAAAAACAATGAAACAAAACATTAATATCAGGATGAAATCCAAGTCAGAATAAGATGATAGATTTTGAGAGCCAGTTTTTTTATTTTTTTTACTGCGCCCGCAGCACTGCGCCGCAAATGTATCCTGAACCATTCGAAATCAGTCCACAAGGAATTTCGTCACCGCTTTGGTTTGCTCCAATGAACACCTACAGTCGCTACTCGATCAGCACCATTCAACGCAAGCTTTAGACTCGCCTGACGATTAACTTGAACAAAGCTTGGGTTATCAGTCTTTGGAAAGACCTTGTCGCCAATCCGGAACAAACGATGTTTTTTGAAAACTAGACGATTTCTTTTATTCATCTCTTGTGGAGTTTATTGAAACAATTGATATCAACAATCACATTCATGATCCAACTTGATCCACCTCTCTCGCTTCTAGCTCAAGCATTATTTATATACGGCTCGTTTTCATAAGGATCCTCATGTTGTATGGCGGCCATCTTTTCAACTGTTTACCTCTATTCAAATCATTCGATCAAAATTATCGGGTCTTTGCTTGTGAACAATCCTAACATTCTGAAATCTACAAACATTTTGGTCTAAGATATGTCCGTTCAATCTCTACACGCAAGGTGAAACAAATTTATTTGCTTCATCATTCTGAGGGAATATCAAAAGGTGATTGATGCATGTGAAACTACTGAACAATGCACAATGTGAGTTGAATCATTGTCAGTCAAACTCCATCTGAGTGGAAAGAGAAGTACCGGATTTGAAGCTGAAGTGTACAATGAGATCAGCAATCAACTTTGATCGTTCAATTGACTTGCGACAACAAGAGAAGAAAGCTCGTCCAGTTTTTGAAGAACTCGATGATTTAATCATCATGATAATCATCATGAGTTGTCTCATAATTTTCCCTGATTCAAAGCAAGCGAGCGATGCCAAAGGATCGTTCACTATAACAAAAGAACACCATGACTAAATCAGAAATTTTTCACAAACACTCAGATAGAATCTATGTAATAGGGCGTGTTGGAACGTCTTGCAGCATCGGGAATAGAGGCGATGTAATAAGGCTTGTTGAATGGTTGTGCTCAAGGTGTGCAATTGAGGAAACCAAAGCAGCGACGACCGTGACGAACGTCTGTGTTGCCTGATTTTGAACGAGTCAGGATACATTTGGCGCAGTAAAAAAATAAAAAAAATTAAGCTAGGCACGCAGACGATGACCAAGGGATCCTTCGCAGTCTGGTCTTGCCTATGAACTTGTTGACAGAGCATAGTATGTGCATAGTAACTCCCGTAGAATCAATATCACAACAATGTGGCAGCGCGGCAGCATTACTGTCAGTATCAGCGAAAGCAACGGGAGGTACAGTCGACAAATTTCACCACTTGTATGACTGCGATGATTGCGACTGGGTTTAACACATGTCACATAGAATGAGTCAAGCAAAGCTTTCATTTGCTATATGCTCAAAATTGTAACTCCAAATCATATCGTATCAGAGCAAACCAAATCCTTGTGCTTGAATCCATCAGAGAACAACAGATATCTACGGAAAACATATATAGATTCACATACTTAATCATTAATCTACACGGCACAAAAATTTCTCAAACGACAGTTTCAATCATCGACTAATGAAACTTTTGAAACTTTTGTTTCTCTTCCAAGTGTCCATCTTGGTTGCGAGACCTATGCACAATGCAGAGGATATGGATGCCAGTGATACCATTCATCGTGGACAGGAAGCGGTCGGATTCACAAAAGAGTTGCATGGCATGGGTACAACAAATGGGGCCATCCATAAGAAACCAGAGACTTTTGAAGCAGGGGTAGAACAAGTGAAACCTAGAAAAAGGGACAAGATCAAAGAGAAACTTCGGCAAAGTGAGTGCATACCTTTCATCTGGGAAAAACATCGTACTCGAGTTCCAGCTTTGGTGGAATTTCTAAGTAGACAGCTAAAGGTGTGTTATTGCAGCTGGAAAAAAAATAGAAACCCGATTGAACAACCTCCATAACCAACAAGAGGCTTACGAAGCAAGGACGGAACCAGTCAACCCTAGAAAAAGAGACCAGATGAAAGCGATGGTTGGTAAAGGTGAGTTCATTATCTTTGTTTGAGGAGAAAGTCTTCTTGAAGAAGTAGCTTTCAAGGAGTTATCTTGTTGGCTAAAGATGAGCTGTGGCACTTGGGACGAAAGCGAGTACCAAATTGAACGACCTTGTTCACGATGAGGAAGGACGATCGATTAATGATCGAGCAAGGATCATAACGAGTTAGTATCTTGTTTATTACTTGTCATATTGATGGAAAGTTGAGTACCAGTTTCTTAGGACACTTGAAAGAAAAAGGAAAAGACTTCAAAGAAAAAGGACAAGTCATGCTGTCTGAAACAACACAGAGTAAGTAGACCATATCTTTTCATAGTTCAGGTTCATAATTTTACCTCAGAATCGACATAATTCAACCAAATGTAAAAGAGTTGGTATCAAAACTGAAAGCTAAGATGAGTAAGTCCCCTTTGGTGCAAACATTCTCACTTCATGTTGTCCATGGGGCGAATGGGTACCGTATGTTAATAATACTGGATAATGAAGACTCTGTAGGAGGCAAGCCATACTGGAAACTTCAGATGGGATTCATATTACCCAGCTGATGATATTTTTTATTTGGATCTTATCCATCAGCCAAGAGCACAGATGGTTAGTTGATTATATTTCTCATAATTTCATCCAGAATTACCCAATCAACTAATGATTCCTCTAAAATCTATTACCAAAAGATCAAAGCAGTTCCAAACAGCAAGGACCAAGGAAAAGTGTGTAGTCTCTACTCCCTAGTCTCATGAGATTATTGTTTGGCTTATCTAATGGGATTGATTTAATATTCAAATGATATTCAATCCTTCAATAACTACAGGGAAAAGCGTAATGATCATTGAAGGTAATGGCCTTAATGCAATTTGTTTTGTTACAAGAAAATCCCAGATACAAGGATACAAGGTGTTCAGAATCTCCTTGGAATTCTGCATCACTCATAGATTAGATGTCAACTGGTTCAAGTTCAACCTGGAAATGGTATCCTTTCAAGCATACTGACATCAATCCTCTCATCTGCAAAGGGACCCCCATTCAATCAGCCAACTGGGATACAACTCCTTCAAATGCACGAGGACATACAACAAGTAGGTATTTTTGATGCAATTAAGTCTATGAGTATTTCAATGAGATTTCTAATCATTAAGCTTCTACAGGTGAGATTATAGAGATCAATGAAGGAAGTGAAACCCATCGCACAGGTGAAAGGAATCCAAGAACACAAACTACAGAAATCTTGGAAGTCCCAAAGAGGATTCCCCCAAAGAAAGAAACACCAACCCAGAGGTTGACAAACTCCTTAGTCTCAAACATACCTCATGCAAATCAACAGGGAATCACATCACAAAATATAAGACAAGGACTGATCACAAGATTGCAGAATTTCAAAACAGAATGGATACCCATGTCATCAAATGACGCAAAAGCATGGGTAATTATAGCTATGAATCATGGAAACCAATGGGCACAGAATGCATTAGTGAAAGCTAAGGCTGTTGGTGTTGATGTACTTGATAAAGTATTCACAGCTGTGGAGAATACATTTGGAAAAACACTTGATAGTACATTGACTTTCCTTTCAGGGAAGTTCTTTCATAATTGATCTGATCATTTAATTCAAGAGAATGCATATACTTTTCGTGCTTAACCTTACAACCTTCTCTCATAAAAAAGATGAAAAAAATCAGATACCTGAGGTCCCAAGAGGCAAATGGTCTACCAGCTCCTTGTGGTTGAATGTACTGAGTTGATTTTTCATAATGTAATCTCTGAGCAATTTTTTTAGTTTCTTGCTGTTATCAAAAACATAAATAAAAAGCAAAGTACCATAGCTTGATACATACCTGTGTGCATTACAAATTACTCATAACAGCTATCATAATATAACTGATGATTTAGGTTCAATCTTGACAAACTCATTTGACTGTATCTTGGAATTAGAAAGATAACCAAGCAAAATGAACTTTTGAACAATCTTTATGCTCAACATGTACTTTTCTCAAAACTTATGATTAATTCTTCATTAAGAGAACCTTCAAAAATAAATCATAAATTCATAATAATCAGAAATGATACAAATGATTCAATGATCAAAACCAAAACCAAATCTTGATAGAATCTTGTATCTTCTTTTGCCAGTGACAAAAATTAACAACACTGGTCAAAAGACGGATAGACACCAACAAAAAGTCAACCTTCACTTAAAAAAACAGAGATGCAGTAATAAAAGAAAAAAGATCATAGAATATAACTTGAAAGAGAGAGGGAGACAAATAGAGAAAAGGGAGTTTTTTTTATCACACCATTGAAAAAGAATTTTTTTAATAAACCAAAAAACAATGTTCAAACCAATAAATTGACGTTGCTGATCAATTTCATTTAAATACAATCTTAGCAGATCCAAGTGTAGTTTTCACCAAACTCTCTCCTTTTCCTTTTTTATCCTCTTCTCCATCGCCTTCGTCCCACCAAACAGCTATTCAGAACGAAAAAAGTTGCAGCTGAGTGTAACGTCCCAAAGATCATGACAAATAAAATCGAAACTCACAACCTGAGATATGACGATAACCAAGTTCGTCACGATCAGATCTGACGATCTTCTTCCTGATCCTATGCCCACCTTCTTTTGGATCTTTCTTGCTGTGCGGTCCTTCAACAGTCGCTGATCCCCAAACTGTTTCAGCTTCAAATTGTCCCTGCAAAGTGACACAGCCCACCCAAGAAAAATATACGTTCAATCGCTACAATTTGTAAACAGAGAAAAGATAAATCTGGAACAGACCTCGAAAGCTGGGGGATGTTGAACTTCGGCTTTTCCATTAGTAGATGAAACAAAACTATAAAGAGTTTGATCAACAGGATGATGAGTATATTTCAAAATCACGGCTCCATTGGTAGTAGTAGCATGAACTGAAGTATAATTGTCAGGTGATGAAGCTTTCGATGGTGGGTTCGGTGGTAATTGAGGTAATTCAGAATCTTCTTCAGACGGTGGAAAGAGACCGATCTACAGAAAACCGTATTTGATAAGCTACGGTCGAAGACAGGTAAAGAGACGTAAAGAGAGGTAAAGAGAGGTAAAGAGAGGTAAAGAAAGGTAAAGAGAGGTAAAGAGAGGTAAAGAGAAGTAAAGAAAGGTAAAGAGAGGCATAGAAAGGTCAAAAAGGATAAGCTTACCTCTGCGTTGATAGCACCATTGGTAGTAGCCAAACTCAATGTTTTACTAACATTGAAAGAACCTTCTACATCTCCATTCTTAGTTCTGATTCGAACTATGTGACTCAAAATGTTTGAAAGCGTAATGGAACCGACAGTCGTACCAAGATCTAATCGAGTGATATCAATAGAACTAAGATCATCCGTTTTGATTGTAAATAGATCACCTCTGATTTCAAAAGTATAAAGAGACTTTAACGATCTGGGTAAAACGATGTTAAGTCTGAATTCAAGATCTGATTCTGGGTAGGGTCCTACTTCCGGTGAAGGTGTCTATTATGCCGCAAAGAAATTCAAGAGAAGCAACATGGATCAGTCAAGCTTATGAACCAATCCCATCTCATCCAATCCAATAACTTCGACTCACATAAATGGCTAAACCAGCTTTATGATGATCACCTTCATGACCAATCACTTCACAAACATTCATTAAATCGATTAAAGCTTCATCATTGTAAAGTGCTAAAACTTCAACTTTGACTTTCTTGGATTCATTGGAATCTGAGATTCCAATCGAAATTCTACCTTTCGCAAAACTACCTTTACTATGAATAAAAAAATGACTATCTTCTTTCAAAGAAATCATAAATTCACTCTTAGATTTAATCTTGTTTCCTAAATTAGTTTCTTTTTCAAAACTTGCACATTGGACTACATTTCCTTCTTGTTTGGGGATTTCAGGTTTAGCTCCATAATTCAACTTTGAAGCAAAATGAACAAAGGTTTGAAATCAATTAACAACAAAATCAATGTAAGAATTCGAAAGAAATCACTCAACTCGATTGTTTCCATCTCCCCAACCTGATTCTTGCCAACTAGTCCATCCAAGTACCAATCCGATCACAATCCATAACCCTACACCTAACAAAAGAGCTTTAAAGAACCTTTGGGTTTGTTGATCAATCGATTAGAAGAATTCATCATAAGAACGAAACTTGATGACTTTCAATTCAAATACTTTGACACAAACCTTGAGCGAGCACGAGCATCGGCGGCTCTCTTAGATTGTCTAGTAAATGGATCATTGACAGCGGGATAGATATTCGGATGATAACTAGGACTGTTATAGTAAGATTTTAAAGAAGTATAAGGGTCTTATCAATAAAGAGTCTTTCAGAGAATAAAGAAGTTGAACTAACCCAAATTGGAAATGACCAGATCTAACTGATCGACCGGATAAAGTTCTACGATGATGTCTTACAGTCTTAGGCCTATCTTGAACAGGTTGAGCTTGAGATTGAGATTGAGATGGACCAGGTTGAGCTAAGAAAGGAGTAAAAGATAAGTTGAAGAGATAAGGAATTCTTTGATATTGACTTTATAAATTCAACTCACGTAACAATGGTTCGGTTTCATTGGGAGTATTTTGCTTTTTGATATCATCATTTGGTTGAGACATGATTGCTTGACGATGATAATATTGGATTGATAGAAGTGTTATTCGGCGAAGACAGCTAAATGCAATTGGAAATCAAATCAAATGACGAATGTCGATTGTATCATGAGGCTTGTTTGACATGCACATGCGCGCATTCCGCGCCGCCTATGTGCGCCCTGCACAAACAACAAGCCAGTCTACCTCAAGCCGCCAGATTATGCAGCCTGATCGTGCCACTCCAAAGTCTGTGCCCAAGTGGTGTGCCCCGGCCCCAGGTGTGCCGTATCCGCCATCAGAAAGATTCTCAACTCTGCTTCCCAGACTCTGGGAAAATTCCAAGATTGCAGATTGCTATACATTAGCGGTACTGAAAGTTGAAAGGCAGATTATGACTGTTTTTAAGCCTAGAGTCTTGATTGTTTTGGGCGGGCAAAAACTAACTTAAATCTTACCCAAAAATCTGTGGCTTTGAGGACCCCATGCCTACTTTTCCCATTGGTATCGCTATTACTCACTTACATACCAGTCCTTTGTCCCAATCAATCAGTTCAAACCCAATCATCTTTGCCAAATTTTAATTGTTGGATTCTTAGATGATATGAATCAAACATTAAACGAGGGAATTCTGTTGAAGTTGCTGACGTGCAGTGGGGTTGTTAGTGCGTTGATGAAAAAGATGAAAGGCAGCCGGAAGGATCTTACTTTGTCTGACCCTGCCTAGTTTTTGGAAACCCAAGATTGCAGGATTCTGAAGAAGTCAAAAAGTAAGTATGTGCAGGGAAAACAAGACCAAAAGTATATTTGTTTTTGTTTGCCAAAGACAGTATATATGAAAACTATATATTTGTACATATGTGGCTTTGGGTATTATAATTTCATGTAAAGAGCTCCACTGATACTTGCCTAAAGTGAATCTTCAAATCAATGACTCTGGTTCAAAAGTATGGCACATGGTCATTGAACAAATTATTTCAATTGCAATGTGTGCTGCAGATCACAATTTCACAGCTGCCATATGGGTCTGCATAGATGGGCTTTGTTAAGCTAATCTTGTGCTGGTTTTTGCTAATTTATTTTCCAACAAATATATCACTCTTGTATACTTGGGTACATATAGGGCATACACATGGTGTGGAATGTCATGGCAATAGCATGTTAAGAGAAAAAGTAATTTAGTTAGGTCCTGTTATATTATCATCCTGTTTTGATCATCATTGGACCTTGAATTTCCTGTGTTACTTGAAAAGCTACACAAAAGCTCTTGGCCCTAATTGATACCAAATCTTGAGCTGCTCATCCCAAACATGTGCTGTGTTTTGTTGAGGTGGAATTCAGTCAAATCACAGACATGACCAACAGGACAAGGAGATGTGTTTAGCCCCTTGTAGCACCCAGAGTGAGTCTCTGACCTGGACTTGGGGCTGCCTGTGCCAACATAGGACAACACTGAGCAACCCCACCTTGACTTCACTCCTCCAATACCAACCCTTGGATGTGACCTTTCTAAGTTTCTAATCCAAGGTAATTCTTAGTGCAAAAGAATACCTCAGATCACAACCTTGGATGAAGTCTGTCAGGATTTGCCTCCAATGATGCCTTTGATTTCTCAACCCAAAGAATCTATGTTGGCAATGCTTGGCTTGGTATTTGGTCACATATGTGTTAGTTGTTTTGAAGACCACATTCAAGAATATTTGACATATATTTGAGGATAACTTTCATGGTTGTGAGAAATGATGTGCTAGTGAACTTGTATCTTTCTGTGATGGTCGCTATTGGAAATTGTTAAAGATTTTGCTCCTAGACTGGTACAAATCTGTCTGGATGATCCAAAGGGATTTGATTGCAGCCAGGACCCTGGAATGCCCCCATAAGGGGTAGTAATCTAGAAAACTTCACCTTGAACTCCCACAGAGTCAAAATTTATGACATTATAACAGCTTGCTCAGATTCTGCCCAATTGTGCCTTTAAGTTTGGTTTTTGCCGTTTTTTTTCTGGTTTTTGTAGTCCTGGCCAGCCTTTGGGCGGTGCTAGTCTGCGATTGTGCATTATTGTTCTGAAGATTTCCAGATAATTTTTCCCAGAATTTCAGAAAGAAAAATTATAGTGGTATCTGGCCTTTTGTTGTTCTGGAAGTTTGAACGCCCCAGCAGTCCAGAATGCCAGAATCCTGAGTACATGACTGCGGCACAAAGTGGAACCTAGCTCACAGGAATTTATGTTTTCCAGAACACCAAACACCAGAAGGGTTCTGGTGTTCTGGAAAAAATCTTCTGGAAATTTTCTGAACAATATTTGTATACCATACACCGTGTCCCTGTGGTGTTTGCCCGTCAATGTGCGCACACGAGTTGACTTTGTGCCTCAAAAGCAGTCCGTGTGCGCTCATTGTCAAGAGACTGCCACAAGGACATGATGATAATTGTAAGACCCTCTTAGAGCTATGTATGGGCAACCACTGTGAGGAAAGCTCTGTTACTTGAGTCTGAGTATGCAGTGTATTACTCAGACTTGCAGAGTGCATACACAGAATCTGAGTGACAATTTGTCACATTGTTGAAGCGTGAGTTTACAGCATGCTAAGCACCCTCAAGTCATGGCTTTTCCCTCCTTAGACTAAACTGCCTTATGTAGGTCCTACCATACACATGTATGGATGAATTACTGACATACACATGTACATCTTGCTCCTTGAGCTTGGATTTTAGCTTGAATTGAATCACCATACTGCATGGCTAAAAGTACGTTAAGTGGCCAGTGTAGGTCCCTCTGTATGCCACAAACATATGCAACAGCAGCCCACAAATATGTGCCCTTAGAGCATCTCCAGTGGTCCCCCAATTGTGTGAGGTCTGAAACAGACCCCCAATCATTATTTTGGGATGTAGGGGGTAAAAAAACACCTCACACAGTGGTGTACCTAGAGTGGGGGTCAATACTTGGTTGAGTGAATCAAATATGCTTGAACAAGGATAATAGAGGAGCAATACATTTGTTTTCACAAAGGTTGGCTGTACAGGTGTTCTGTATTGGTCATGTGGAAGCAGTGGCACGTGATGTCAAGAGCCCACCTAGATCAAGCTGTCACCCGGCAACTATCCGGTGATATGAGCCCATTCCGCCAACCGAACAGTTGGCTATTGTGGAAAAAAACCCGGCCGGTTTTTCTCTGGCCGGTTTTTTTCTGTTAAAATACCAAATCCGCCAACCAAACCGGATATCCGGTGTTCAGGCCAACAAAATCACGCTCGGCCAAAAAAAAATCACGCTCAGCTGAAATTGAGCCCAGCTCTATGCCTACCCAAGGCTTTCTTGACCGGTCCGGGTCATTTTTGGATGGTCTTATTGTTTTTCTTTGAGTCACCAAATAAAATCTTATTATAAATCTTATTATAGTTTATCTGAAAAAAATCATTCATTGGTCTATCACCGCTCAATCACAATTGAATAAAACTCAAATCAACAATTCACAATGTCTTCAGCCCCAGGTACCACTACTGACACCGCCTCCCAAGCCAAAAATTCCAATCTCGGGGATACTTCTTCAACTGCAACTGCTCGTATAAGCTGGGTTTGGAAGTATTTTGTTAAGCTAACTGATTCAGAAAAAAACAAGTGTCAATTTGTAGTGGCCAATGGAAAAGAATGTGGGAAGGAGTTGACCTGTGATACGAGGGGTAGTACATCATCCATGAAGAACCACCTTGAAATCAAACATGGTATGTGTGATGGAATTTTATCTGATCATGAAGGGACCATTGTTGGAGCTTTCAAGAAGGCCAAAACAGGTCACACAGCGAGTCCTTTCATTTTTTGAAAGGATATTCAATACATCAATAAATTACACGTGCTCACAAAATCCTTGTTTTACAATCTCATTTGATAGAATAAACTCAACATCGCCACCCTCAAGACACACATGTGTTATTTTATAGCCGATTATGATCTCCCGTTCTCAATTGTCAAAAAACCATTGTTTCAAAGACTCTTGCAACTATGTAGCCCTCACACAGCCGGTATGCTTGTCAAACGGACGGCAACCGCTAATCATATGCGCTGCATTTACTATCACTATGAGGAATTCATTAAAAAGCTTCACTTTGGACCTTGAAAATCAATTGCAATCACTCAAGATGCTTGGACATTGCCAAACAATGTCCCGTTTATGTCTCTCACCGGTCACTTTATCAATAACAACTGGGATCTCATGGATATCACTTTAGGTATTGCTGAAATCAAAGGTTAGTTCCATTGCTTCATCGCTTGTTAATTCAACTCTTCCAAAGAGACTGATGTGATCTTCCAGGTGCACACAATGCCAACAACTTTGCTAGCATCATCCTCAACTATTTGAAGAAATACAATCTAACAAGAAAGTTGAGTGCAATGACCGCAGACAACATCAGTACAAACACAGCAATTGGTTGAGTGATTGGATCAACAGAAGGAATGAACTTTGATCATAAGACCCAGTTTCATGGGTGTGTAGCTCACGTAATCAACCTTGCTGCGAAAGAAGGCTTAAAGGTATTTGGTGAAATCATTGAAAACAACAAGGACAAGGCTGAACCAACATCAAACATACATACTCTTGTCGACCCACCCAATGTGACTCAAGTCAATCTCAAGACTATTTACAACCTCTGCCATGGCCTAATGGCGTGTACCCGGTGTGGAAAGCAGAATATACGCTCCAAACTCATCCTCTCTTTATACGCATCTTTTTTAGCGTAGACTTTTTTTAATGGGCTCATATTAATTTTTTACTCGCAAGCATCTCATCTCACTTTTCAATGCATTTTAATTCAATTTAATTCATTTCTTTATTTCAAAAACAACTATAAAAGACTAAAAGAATACAAGACAAGAGAATTAAATAAAATAAAGTATAAGAAACAATAGAAGGTAAAGAGGAAAATCGAAAATTAGAAAGAGGAAGATTAGTCAGGGACTGCAAAAGAGGACTCGGGCGGAGAGAAGGAAGAAACTCACCTATCAAAGGGTACAAATCGAAAGAACAAGATAGACTCGAAAGATATCGATCAGAGAAAAAAATTTTAAACTAGGGATTGAGCT